TGTTAATCACTCAAGTATTTTAAACCAGGTGTGTTGAAGCAGAGAAATAACTAAAACATGCTGGATTGCAGACCTCCTTGATCCGGATTTGAAATCCCTGGTCTAAAACCTTCACAGATATAGATTAGGGGTTTTAGATGACGTTTTACTTTTATATTTAATTCTAAATACCAAGAATATAGTTTTGCTTTAACATTTTATATAATGTTGAAATGTCATAAATAAGAAGTTGTGTTTTAATTATCAAATGCAGTGAAAATGTGGCATGGTAATTTTTTATGTAAATCTGTGAAACATGAAGTATTCTGGCACACTTGGGCCAGGATTACTGCTCTAAATGAGATGAAATCGAGCTCTAGCATCTCCTTTTCTATTTCCTGCAGAGTGCCAAGTCATCTTTTATTGTAGATCCGGGATATATTCTGGTGAAAAAAAAAACAGAAAAACTACATGAATCAAAAACAAAACTAAGTCCGAAACAGAACAAACCAGAATGGGGGCAAGAGGGTGGGTTTGATCAACCTGTGATGGTATAAATGGTTTAAAGTCATAAGTCATAACATAAGTTTAAAAAACCATGCAGCTGTCATACGTTGCAGGAATATTTTATTAAATTATTGTTTCTAGTGATGCACTTTTTGTTTACACGCATTTTCACCCCCTGAACAGCTGTTGTATCTCTGCATCAGCATTGCTGGATTCTCTCTGCAGCTTGAGGATTTCTCTCTGTGGCCAAAGGCCTCCCTGCTACCATTCCTATCAAGGGTAAGGAATGGTGTTTAGAGTCCTACTTTGTTGCCACATCTGATATCATTTGGATTATAAATATATATATGCTGAAACAGATGTATGAATATTCAGCCGGTTATCAGAAATAATGTTAACCAAAATGACCCTCTCACATATTCTGTCTTTATGCCTTTGAAGGTAAACTCCGGACTTCATTCTTTTAAAGAAGTCTGAAGGATCCTCACCTTTCTATAATGTTGAAAAAGCCTTATGGGCTCGACACACGGGAGGCGACATCGCCTCTCCTCCATTCATTTTCAATGAGACATGCGCGACAAAGCGATAATCGCGGGTCTCCCTTCTACTAAGCGAAACACGAAAAACGTACGTGTGAAATTTTGCGCTCGTGCACGTCTCGTGCACAGGCGACCCATCGACGCTATCCCAGAAAGTTGAAACATTTTCAACTTTTCATCGCTGTCGCTCGGACGAGAACCAATCAACGGAGGTTTCATTCACTGACCAATGAGCGGACAGGATGCTCCGTACACCTCAGAGCAAACATGGAGGAGAAGTTGATTATTATTATGTTTTATATAGTAACATCAGAAATAAGATTTCACATAACTCTAGCAGCACCTTGTGAAACATCATATCTACCACTTTTTTTTAACTCTGAACCGCTTAAATAACCTTAATTCCCTCCAACCTGACACAGCCAAACAAAACAACGGAAGTTTCGATTTCACCATGGAACAGAACGCGTAGACGGCTTTGCCGATGGCCGCTGCCGCGGATCGCCTCCCGTGTGTCAGGTAATAAAAAGCGACGGCGACAAATTTCGCTGATCGCGGTCGTTTGTCGCCTCCCGTGTGTCGAGCCCGTTAATCAGGACAAATCTGATTTTATGAAGCAGAAAATGTTCATTTGTTAATGTGCATTTGTAAAAAAAAAAAGAATAAAAGTGACTCAACAAAAATCTAACGAGTTAAGTATTTATACCGTGAAGAGAAATGAGTTGATCACCACCACTACAGCCTCACCCTAACCCTGTGGTAAACTCTAAAACACCAGTACTGTAAGTAAGTGAATCTGAACTGTGATATGTGGACTTTCACATTTAGAAAGCTAAATGCTACGCTTTCATTAATAAAGCTACAACTGTTCATTTTGGAGCAATCAGTGACACATTCATTGAGTTGGTTGAAAACTTTTAATATCTTACTTCAAATATTAAAAAAACAATTACTCAGTTACTAGGCTTCTCCGTCAGACGCGTAAACATCACAGTTACGTCTGCGAAGCGCAGTACGCAGCAGTTAGCCGCTGTTATAGTGGATGGGTAAGTTTCCACTGGCTGTGAAGTGTGAAGCATGGGGGCATGTCCCTCTGCTAAATTAACGCTTCGAGTTTATTCTTTATGAGTTACGCTTCCAGAACAAGACAAATTCAGCAGGTTTAGACAGCCAGACAGGAAGTCAAACACAAAACAGTGTAAAACTCTCGGAAACTTTCAAAACAAAAGTAACTTGCAAATTTCTGGTTTCTTAACTAGTTAAAAAAGTATGTCACTTACTCTGAAACATCTACAGCTGAGGTAGACCGAACAGAAAATAAACCACTGAACTTTTTTGTGTAAATTCTGCCCTCACTCTCCATGCTTGTTATCGTGCAAACTGCTGAAATCATGTGTTGTCTTGCAATTCCACGATCATTTAGGCCAAATTAGACACAGTGATTGCTTCTACAGGAGCCCATGAGGACAAAATACATTTCCTGATTCGTAACAAAAAGTTACATAACTGTGATGAAAGCGAGTCTGACCCTGATTTTTGATCCTAATGGCCTTCCGTTAATGTGGTCTTACTCCAACACAAAAATAGAGCTTGCTTGTAATGATTTAGGTACGTACTTCCCCTATCACCAGGGAAAAATACACACCGTTACTTTAAAATGCTGAATCTGACAGGCAATTCAACAAAAATTCCACAAATATACAATATATACTTTTCAATAGCAGTGAAACTAGTTTACAAAAACCAAAAGGCACAGTTTCACAGCGATCCCAGTGTTCAGTAGAGATGTGAAAGTGTCTTATAATAACACGGAAACCATAATGACCCTGAGGAAGGAGGATCTGGTTACATTTCTGTAAATTAGCATTAATGAAGCTCACGTTCGTTATGGAACTCTGAACCTTTCAGTCTGAATTGAGAAAGTACTTCAGGTGAGAAGTGAACGATATGCAGGACTTCATCATCTGGACCACATTGTCCCAGCGCATTCCTTCACTGTTTGAAATAAGCCGTCACCTTTACAGCGAGCTCAGTGATCTGTCAAAAGCAGCCTAACTAAGTCACAGTATGCACTTGCTGTCTGTCTGACTGGCTGGCAGCCAGGGAAGTATTTTACTTGGAGAGCAGAAAGTAACTGACAGATGTATGAGCAGCAGCGTAGCGTTCATCAAGGCATCTGCACCCTGCAGAGTCAGAGGCTGCTTCACTCGCACCCACCTGAAGCTATTAAGATCACCAAATCCCAGGCATGGCTGGAGCCAGCTGAAGCACTACTCTGGTATCACAGAGCTGACCCTGGCAGACAACAGGCAGCTCTGGGTGTTAAACCACCCCATCCGCTCCATACATCACTGTTATCTCTATCGCCCCAGTGAAGATTAGCCTGCAGCCAGTGCTGCCTACCTGTTCAGACTTCTGCTGCTGAGCAAAAACCCCCGAAGCCCGAGCAGCACTAAGTGATAACTCACAATAACAAGACTTGGTGCACGTCCTGAAATGACACGTTCAAGAGTCCATCACTGGTTAGATAATAACTGAGTCTGATCTGTTTGCATGTATGCATGTGTGTGTGTGTGTGTGTGTGTGTGTATGTGTGTGTGTGTGTGTGTGTGTGTGTGTGTGTGTGTGTGTGTGTGTGTGTGTGTGTGTGTGTGTGTGTGTGTGTCCCGTGTTAACATCTAAGGTAAATGTAAATGGTTTTTATAAAAAAACAAACTTTTATTGTGGGTTAAAATCCTTCCGGCTAGAATATCTCATAATATCTGCAGAAAATGAACTTTTTGGGCAACGCTGAGGTAAAACAACCTTGTTATATTGTTTTAGGTTTGAATATTTTATTGTGATTTCAGCAGCTGGCCATGTTGTGACTAGCTTATGTGCTTGCCTGTCTAATCAGCACTACTCTCTGTTTCTTCAAATTCAGGCTGTTGATATAAACAATGACATCAACATTTCTACAGAAACCCACCTCAAACCTATGTAATAAGCTACTTTGATAAAGTTACTACATTTTAAATGCAGTAACTTACTCTGTAAGCAGCTCCTTTCCCCACCCCTGAGATGACGTGAGGCAGCGTGCCGTACTTGCTGTGTTCTGATTAGATCCAGCCTGGTGGTCAGAACCAGCCCATTATTAAGAGCTGATGACGACTTGATGGGCCCATATGTATTCTTTGGACGACCCTCCTGGGAGTTATCGACTGGGCTCCACACAACGTGGCAAGTTTATTAAGTCAATGCTCAGAAATTAAGCAGCAAAGTGGCTTATTAATCATCATTTCACTGACTAAGTGACAGAAGTGTGATTACTGGATACAGTGTGAGGGACTTCATTTGAATAAAGATGGCTAATGGCACATTTATTATAGTGTGGTACCTTCCTGGGTGGGAGACGGGTGGGTGAGTGTGTGGGTGTTGTACAGAGAGGCACCATTTTTTCCCCTAATGATCCTTGTATAACAGCAGAAACCAGCAGACATCTGAAGGCATCAGTAAGGAGAACATCATGCTGGACACAGTTTGTTTGAAAGGTGGGCGGTTCTGGCAGGTTTGACACTTCATAAATGTCTCCATCCAGAAGCTTTTAAACTATTTAGGTGTTTTATATTCTCCAGTCAGAGAATCACTGAAACGTGATTAGAAGGCTTCCTGTTTTTGACCATGATTTTGTAAAAGTCATCACCTTTAACAAACATCCGCTCTGCACGCGGACCTTACTGTCCAATAAAAACGAATCTTAAATGGACCCGCCACGCAGAACCCAGAGCGCTCGGGGTTTTCTCCTTTTCCTTCTGATGCATTTGTGTTTTCGTGCCTTTAAAGCGGAGATGTACACGCAGACTTTGTAACGGAGTCACCTTCTCCGGTCCCGGATCACCGGTACCTACAGAAACCGGGGGGCTATCCGCGCGCCTTGGTAACAGACAGGCAGATGCGCCGAGCTGGACAGAGATAAAACAGCGTGCCACGTCTTACCTGGTTCTGGAGCGCAGACCGGATCCCGGGCTGAGCGCAGAGTCGCACCGGTAGCACCGGAGTTGGAACGACTGCAAGAAGTCCCGGCTGTGAACTACAAAGCATCTGTTTATTTATTTATTTATTTATTTATTTATTTATTTTTACGCCAGTAAGGACATGGGACTCAGACCACTCCCCCCTTCAACTGCTCTGCCCTGACTGCTCCGGCTGTGTCCTCGCAGCATCTTTATTCAGATGATTTTTACATTTTATTTCCGGTGGATGGTTCCGATGTTCTGCAAGAAGTCTTTAATGATCAGAGATCACCTCAACAGCTGGGTCAAATAGTCGGGGTCCCCATTTTTATTTGTTCTGAGTGTTTTATACTTTTTAAAAGAACATTTGAACCTAAAGGCTGACAGCTGAGAGTTTTGACCCAATAATCATTATTTCAGTTTTACATTGGAGTGTGCGTAATCTGGATCATTACAAACATGCATGCTGCGTAGCATCTGTCCAAATAACCTCATTTGTAATTCTTAAGCTTAAATGTCTTTGCTGTCACAATGAGGTGTTGAAATAAAAAATAAAAATAAAAAAAACGCAAATAACCATTCACTGGATTAAGGATTAAACTATGATACAAAATAACTAATTAAACAATTTATTTTAAATACTAGTCTCACAATCATAATACTTATCCACTGGATGTTTACATGTTCTATAGATTTTTTTATAAATTAGAAGCTACGTGGTGCACAGTTGGTAGCCCTGTTACTTCACAGCGGGATGGTCCCTTGTTCAACTCCCAGCTGTTAACAAGATCCCCTCATGAAGGCCTTGGTTTTCTTCAGGTACTCAGTTTCCTCCCACAGACCAAAAACACGCTTGTTAGGTTAACTGGTGATGAACTTGTACCTAAGTGTGAGCATGTGGTTGTTTGTCTCTGTGTCACCTCCCTCTCCCTGCTGGAGTTGAAGACCAGCTTCACGTGATCCTACTTAGCTAACAGTTAAAAAGATTATTTAATTGTGCAACATTAATAAAAAAAATAACTGAATAAAATTGCCACTTGCCACCAAAAAATTCATAAAGTGGTACAGAACTTATGTTATAGCTGTAGAAGGAAGTACTAATCCACCTAAACTGGTGATGCAGATGCATAAGTGACTGTGTTCAAACATCACTGGTAGATACAAACAAATCCCCATTCAGCAGCCCCGTATTTCTCTATGTGTCTCTCTCCTGCCCCGATTAGTCCATATTGTTTTCACCTGTCCCTCATTAACCTGCCCATGTGTTCCCAATCAGCCTTGTGTATTTATACCACATGTTTTGCTCCTGTCCTTCGTCAGATCATTGTTGTTTGTTGTCACCGTTGTGTTTGTTCCTGCCGTTCCCGTTCTGTGATTAAATTCGTTTTTACGTTCTCCGTGCCTGCTCTTCTGCCTCCGGAACCCACCACCACACATGGTCCACCATCTCCAGCCACACACCGTGACAGAATGATCTGACCAGCCTGGACCTGTGGTGAGCTACCATCTGTTTTTTGGAGGATTATTTTTTCTTTTTTCTCTTTTTCAGTGGAGGGAGATTCCGGCCTGAGGGGCTTCGGCGCATCCTACAGGTTTTCGGGGTGGTCGAGCCCGTTTGGGAGATTTTGGCGCATCCTACCTGTTCTCGGGGTGGTCAGAATCATTTCTCCTCTCCTGCTGTTTCGCCCCGTCCTGTTTTTTCCCACGGAAGCTGCGGATCCTGCTTTTGGTGAGACAAACACCCCTGCGCACGCCAGCGTTCTTCGGAGTGGTAGGGCTGGTCTTCCTGCTTCCCTTCACCCGAGCCTCTGCCGATGACCCAGCAAATCGGGAAGTGCACCTGCTCCGACCAGATGTCGAGTACCTGCCGCCGAGCTGGGCTTCCTCACGTCGCTCCTGCAGTCCCACCCACTTCCTGGTCCACGCCTGCGGGGCCTACGCCTGCAGGTCCTTCTGGCTGCAGCTTTTTCAGCATCCTGCTACTGCAGCCCAAACCAGAGCTCATGAACTCACAAGGACCAGAGTTGTGCCGCCTAATTCAGAGGCCCCTGCTCTGCCATCCAGGACTGAACTCAAAGAGCCCTCAGAAGCCAGAGTTGTGCCGCCTATATCAGAGGCCCCTGCTCTGCCGACCCAGTGCTCGAGTTTCCAGTATCCGAGTGTCTGAGTTCCTGAGTCTACGTGTCCCGAGTCAAGTGTTCCTGTGCCCCGTGTTCCAGTCAGCCCCGAGTCAAGTGTTCCTGTGCCCCGTGTTCCAGTCAGCCCCAAGTCAAGTGTTCCTGTGCCCCGTGTTCCAGTCAGCCCCGAGTCAAGTGTTCCTGTGCCCCGTGTTCCAGTCAGTCCCAAGTCAAGTGTTCCTGTGTCCCGGTTCCCCGAGTCCTCCGAGTCCAAGTGTCCCGGTTCCCCGAGTCCTCCGAGTCCAAGTGTCCCGGTTCCCCGAGTCCTCAGAGTCCAAGTGTCCCGGTTCCCCGAGTCCTCCGAGTCCAAGTGTCCCGGTTCCCCGAGTCCTCCGAGTCCAAATGTTCCGAGTCCGAGTGTATCCGAGTCTCCTGAGTCAAGTCTTCGAGTCCCCCGTCAAGTCTTCGAGTCCCCCGTCAAGTCTTCGAGTCCCGAGTGTTGTGTGGCCTTGTGGGCGTCTGGTATCCGCCCCTTGAGGGGGGGTACTGTCACGATCTGCCCCCTCCCTCTTGACTGTGTCTCTCTCCTGCCCCGATTAGTCCATATTGTTTTCACCTGTCCCTCGTTAACCTGCCCATGTGTTCCCAATCAGCCTTGTGTATTTATACCACATGTTTTGCTCCTGTCCTTCGTCAGATCATTGTTGTTTGTTGTCACCGTTGTGTTTGTTCCTGCCGTTCCCGTTCTGTGATTAAATTCGTTTTTACGTTCTCCGTGCCTGCTCTTCCGCCTCCGGAACCCACCACCACACATGGTCCACCATCTCCAGCCACACACCGTGACCGGTTGTGCATTTGACAACTAATTTGTATGGCACACGTTATCTTTGACCTTGCCTATGAGGTATTTTAAAACAATAAATAAAGTTTTGTTTTTCACAAATTTTCATAGCAAATCAGTTATGATGCAACCAAACGCTATTTGAAGTATCTAGACCTTTAATCACCGTTTTGCCACAGTGCAGCCACCTTTTTGAAAAAATTAAACATCTGAATTAAACATGTTCAACATCACAATAACTTGCTCCAATGTTTACAAAGTGCAAAATGCATGTTTCACCCCTCCTGTCCCACTACATTTTTAAAAGGTAATTAATACATAAATACACATTCATTTTTAATTTCAACAATCCCCTTAGGGAAATCACTTCTCTGTATTTGATCCATCCCTGATGAGCTGGTGCTTCTTTTTCAATGGCATCTGGAGGGCAACTTCATGGTTAAGTGTTTTGCCCAAGGACGAGACATGACCTGCTGGGCCTGAGATCCAACCATTTACCCTGAATAGTTTCCCCGTTCAGCCACAGTCTAATGACATGTTCATTCAACAAAATTAGCTGACATGAATATAACATAATCATATAGCATACTTCTTTCTGTATACCTATGTATGTATGTGTGTGTGTGTGTATGTGTGTGTGTGTGTGTATGTATGTATGAATGTATGAATGTGTGTGTGTATGTATGTATGTATGTATGTGAGTATGTGTGTGTGTGTGTGTGTGTGTATGTATGTATGTATGTATGTATGTGTTTCTCTGTCTACATTCATTATTGTGGAAACTGCAACATAAAAATGTTCATCCCAGATACAGATTAGAAATCTTTGCTATCTTTAACAGGAGCGCCTCCAGAATATTTTCGATAGGGGTGGCCAGATGGGGCCAAAGCAATTTTTGGGGTGGCACATCAAATTGGTCCTTGTGGTAACTCTGGGAGAGTTTAGCCTGTGGCAATGTACTGCATTACACCTTTATTTGTGTTTATTAAAATAACAGTACGTAGCCAAAACATTTAACTTAAATCTTACAAATGCAAACACTTTAGAAAAATACATGTCAGTTATTTAAAATGTTATTCCAAATTTAATTGAAAAAAAAATATTGTTTTAGGTTTATTCCCCTGTTGCTTTGTTCCCCAAAAAAGGCTATGGAGATAAAAACTTTTTTAAAATGGTGAGCAGCAGAAACATATGTATTTTTTTCTGATTATTTCTTTCCTCATTAATTGTAATACAGGTGCTGGCCAGTAAATTAGAATATCATCAAAAGGTTGAAAATATTTCAGTAATTCCATTCAAAACGTGAAACTTGTACATTATATTCATGCAATGCACACAGACCAATGTATTTCCAATGTTCATTACATTTAAATTTGATATTTATAGGTGACAACCAATGAAAACATCAAATCTGGTATCTCAGAAAATTAGGATATTCTAAAGGCCAATGAAAAAATGTTTGTTTCTCTAATGTTGGCCAACTGAAAAGAATGAACATGAAAAGAATGTGCATGTATAGCACTCAATACTTAGTCGGGGCTCCTTTTGCCTCAATAACTGCAGTAATGCGGCGTGGCATGGACTCGATCAGTCTGTGGCACTGCTCAGGTGTTATGAGAGCCCAGGTTGCTCTGATAGTCGTCTTCAGCTCCTCTGCATTGTTGGGTCTAGCGTATTGCATCCTCCGCTTCACAATACCCCATAGATTTTCTATGGGGTTAAGGTCAGGCGAGTTTGCTGGCCAATCAAGGACAGGGATACCATGGTCCTTGAACCAGGTGCTGGTGGTTTTGGCACTGTGTGCAGGTGCCAAGTCCTGTTGAAAGGTGAAGTCTGCATCCCCATAAAGTTGGTCAGCAGCAGGAAGCATGAAGTGCTCTAAAACTTCCTGGTAGACGGCTGCATTGACCCTGGACCTCAGGAAACAAAGTGGGCCAACACCGGCAGATGACATGGCACCCCACACCATCACTGATGGTGGAAACTTTACACTGGACCTCATGCAACGTGGATTCTGTGCTTCTCCGCTCTTCCTCCAGACTCTGGGTCCTTGATTTCCAAAGGAAATGCAGAACTTGCTTTCATCAGAAAACATAACTTTGGACCACTCAGCATCAGTCCAGTCCTTTTTGTCCTTGGCCCAGGCGAGACGCTTCTTGCGCTGTTTCTTGTTCAAGAGTGGCTTGACACACGGAATGCGACACCTGAATCCCATGTCTTTCATGAGTC